GAGGCTTTATATGGTCGGCGATGTCGTTCGCCCATCGGATGGTTTGAGCCCTGCGAGGCTAAGTTATATGGTACTGATTTAGTGAAGGATGCCTTGGAAAAGATAAAGTTGATTCAGGAGTGACTTCGCACAGCACAGTCTAGATAGAAGAGTTACGCGGACCAAAAGGCGTGCGATTTATCATTTATGGTGGGCGAGAAGGTTCTCTTGAAAGTCTCGCCAATGAAGGGAATCATGAGGTTCGGGAAGAAGGGCAAGTTGAGCCCAATGTTCAAAGGCCAATTTGAGTTATTGAGACGAGTTAGGGAGGTTTGCTTATGAGCATGCTTTTCCTCCAAGTCTATCGTCCGATTTTCCACGTGTTTATGCTTAGGAGGTATCATGCCGACAGTTCGCATGTGTTAGACTTCAGCACGGTTCAGCTAGATGGGAGCTTGGGTTATGAGGAGGAGCCAGTTGCCAATGTTGACAGGCAGGTTCGCCAAATGAGGTCCAAGAAGATTTCTGCGGTAAAAATCAATAGAGAGGCGAACCAGTCAAGGAGGAGACTTGGGAGGCCAAAGAGGACATGTGGAGCAGAAATCCACACCTATTCAGCGCTCTAGGTATGATTCTAGACCCGTTCGAGGACGAACATTTGTTTAAGAGGTGGAAAATATAATGACCCGACCGGTCGTTTTACTTTCTAGATCCCTTGTTCCCCTAAATAAGACTCCCCGTATGTGCTTTTACTGTTTTATGACTTGCGAGGATGATTAGTTTGAGATTTGAAAGAGTTCGGGTTGAAATCGGAACACCTAGTTCCATAATAGTGGCCTTAAAAGGGTAAATTTGACTTTGGTCAATATTTCTAGCAAACGACCTCGGAATCAGGATTTGATGGTCCCAACAGGATCATATGATGACTTTAGACTTGGGCGTGTGTTCGGATCGAGTTTTAGATAACCCGAGAGTGTTTCGGTGCCTAAGGTTGAAAGTTGGCTTATTGAAAGCTTAAAAGTTCTTTAAATTTAGTTTGGAGTAGGCTTTAGTGTTATCGAGGTCTGTTTTGGATTCCGAGCCTGGGAATAGTTTAGTATGGTGATTTAATACTTTCATGCAAAATTTGATTTCATTCCGAGTAGTTTAAGTATGATTCAGCGCGTTCAGAGTAAGTTGGAAGAATTTGAAGTTCATAAGTTGATTCTATTAGTTTTGGGTTGCGATTCTTAGTTTTAATGTTATTTTCCACGTTCCGAGGGTACGAGCGAGTTCGTTTTATGATTTCTAACTTATTGGTATGTGTGGACGGGGTCACGGGGGCCCCGGATGCCATTCGGGTGAGGCACAAAACTCATTTGGACTTGGGAATAATAGCTGAAGCATCATAGTTCTGGTGCAATCGCACTTGTGGAAGGGCAGCCGCAGGTGCGAGCTCGCAGAAGCGAGCCAACAGCCGCAGAAGTGGCCCAGCGTGGGCTGCCCAGAGATCGCAGATGCAGAGCGTGGTGCACACCTTCGGAAGTGCATGTGCGATGGAAGGAACCGCAGAAGCGGCCAAAGCCGCATGTGTGGCACGTTCGTCGCATAAGCGGTCCCGTAGAAGTGGGCCAGTGTCCGCATATGCGGCAGTAGGCAAACTAGGGGAGAGCCGCATCTACGATGATATTTCCGCAGATGTGGAGCCGCAAAAGCGGCCATAGAGCCGCAGAAGCGGATGTGCTGGAGGCAGTGATGTTCATTTAATACGGAACTTAGACCATTTTTTACTCATTTCTTTCACTTCTTAGTCGATTTTTGAGCTTCTTAGAGAGGGGTTTTCACCTAGCTATTGGAGGTAAGTAATTTCTATCCAATGTAAATTAAATTCATAGATTATAGGTATATTTTGACATGTAAAATTGTAAAAATTATGGGTTTAGATGAACAAATCTAGGTTTTGATAAAAATGGGATTCAACCACAAAAATGGTTATGGGATTGAGAGAAAATTATATATTTGAGTTTATGAGGTTATGGGTAACAAATTTTTCAAAATTTTACGAAATCTGGGCACGTGGGCCTGGGGTGAATTTTAGGAATCTTCCAATAAGGGTTGGGTAATTAATCTAATAGTTAGAATACGAACTTTCGAACATGTATTGATTAATTTATATAATATTTGACTAGTTTCGGATTGTTCGGCACCGAGTTGAGGCTTTATAGTGAATTTGAAGCTGGAAAGTGAGCTTTGAGATGAGGTAAGTCTCTTGTCTAACCTTGTAAGAGGGAATTTACCCCATGGTGATTTAAATTACTATTTACTTCTACTTGTGGGGTCTACGTACGCACGAGGTGACGTGAGTCCGTGTGTAACTACTAATTATGCTTATGTCCGGGTAGTTTAGGACCCAAATCATGAAATATTTATAATGTTTGCACCCTACCTGATTTTCGGCGGGTTAATTGATCGTTAATAAAAAAATTGTGTTTGTTTTTACATTAGCCTTGTATTATCTTGTAAATCGGTTGTTCATTAAGTATCCTATTTTCTTGTGGAGCGGGCCGAATGTCTCGGCAGTAGATAGATGCATCTATGGTTCGTGTCGTACGATCCTCGGCAGTGTACACATTATTTTGGATCGGGCCATACAACCTCAGCATAATCGTGCGTGAAAATACTCGGAGTTTAATTATATTTGATATTTTTTTATGGCTTGAGAGGTTAAAATTTCATATGACAGAAACTGACTTGGGATTTACTATTAGTGAAAGAATTATTTATCTTCTACTTGTTATTGAGTTAACATTATTATGTACATAACACATGCTTATTTAGAAGTCTTGTGTTTTTCTTGATTAGCCCATAACAAGTGTCGATGTCGACCCCTCGTTATTACTTTTTCGAGGTTAGACTAAATACTTACTGAGTACATGTTGTTTATGTACTCACGCTATACTTATGCACTAACCGTGCAGGATCTGAGGCAGGTGCATCTGGCAGTCTTACCGGCGCGCACCCTCGTTACCTTGAGGCCTTGTGGTGAGCTGCTTCCTAAGCCGTCCTGCAGCACCTAGAGTCTCTCTTTTGCACTTATTTTTCTGTCTATTTTTACTTTAGACAGTAGTTAGAGTTTTGTATAATTCATTAGTTGCTCATATACTTGTGACACCAGGTCTTGGCACACACTAGTAGACTTTATGGTTTTGGAGTACTTAAATCACTATGATTGCCACTTAGTTGTCTTCGTTTTATTTATTAAATTTTTTACTCCTTAATTTCTTAATAAATAGGATTTAATTACTTAGAAACTTATTAAAAAGAAAAATAATATGGATTAGTTCATTGTTGGCTTGCCTAGCGGCGACGATGGGCGTTATCACAACCTATAGGGGAAATTGGGTTGTGACATTTAAATTCGATGAGTTGAACTCTAAAGGTCTAAAATACTAACTCATTGAGCTTTTAAAATCACACATTTATATTTAATACTTGTTGAAATTTTAATAATTTTTATTTGCTTTTATATATCTATGTTTTATGTCAAAAATATTACGTTTAATTGAACCTATTACACAGGCTACATCTGCATCTGCTACCAATCACCGTGGCCAAGAAGGTTGAATGCTTGAGGAAGATGTAGGGGTTTTTAGGAAATACATTTATTTATACAAGAAAAGTGTTTAAGGACAATCAAATCCAACTATAAAAAAGAGAACTAGTTCTTGATATACTAGAGCTAATAAGATGAACATATAAAATTTTAAAATAATAATATTATTAAATAATGTTCCTATGCATCTAAGTGATAAAGCAAATTATTGTAGGCTTAGAGGTAAAGCGTGAATATCCTGTAATGCCTACGAAAGCATAAGCTTGTGGGATCCAAATGTGAATTATGTAAAAATCATCATTATTATGTGAAACAAGAGTAGGCCCCCTCAGAAAATCATGTAATCTTCCCTTATCACACAAATCTCTCCTCTAAATTTGCTAATCCCCGTCTTGATCACTTTTCTTCTTTTAGAAGACAAGTCAACATCACCCATTCGTTTACAAGTAAATGTACCAGATTACAATTTATTATCTTGAGTAGACCAATGAAATGCAAGTAACTTTTTATTTTAAATTTTCATTTGGGATTGGGTGAGTCGTTAAGGAAAAGCGGGAAAAAAGAAGAAGAGAAATACCCTGATTTTCAACTTATAATTGAAAATAACCATATTTTCAAAAAGTAATCAAATTTTAGTTATTTTTCCTATAAAAAAAAAATTTGAACAAAAATATCCTTAAAAATCCGAAAGAATTCTAGTATAATATGCTGGGGTTCAAATTTTTTACATATGAGATTCCAGCATAATGTGCTAGAATTTCATAATGTGTTGGAATTCCAACATAATATTCCGGAAGTTTATACGCATGAGCTCCATAATATAGCATATTATGATGGAACTTTCTTTGTTTCAGCTAGGATATTTTTGTCCAAATTTTATCTACACATAAGATAGTGACTATTTTTCAATGACTTTGCAAATGCTGGTCATTTTTCGATTATCAACCCGAAAACTGGCTAGCCCGTGCTAGGGAAAAGTTAAGTAAAAATCATATTTTTACACATGAACAATTCAAGGTAATAACTCTATCAATGATTAACACTCAATTCTTCAACTTTGATAATCAAATTTAGGCAGCTTGGTGCAATAAGCTTCTGATGCGCATAGCATCTGAAGAACGGTTGGATCACTTAAACGCAATCTTATTTAATATTTCAGCAGAAGTGTGAACCCGTAACCTACTATTCACACGGCAACAACTCATCATGACATCGAGGCTCCATAGTCAATTAGATTATAAATTGTGATAAATAACTTCAAAGTAGATACAAATTAAGAGTCATATTTCTTGGCACCTTGGTTATGACAGCATTACCTCATAATTGTTGTAATTGGAAGTCACTGTCATAGTAGTATTAGACTTTATCACAACCGACGCTAATTTATACCTATAAATAGAAGTAAAAGAACACTACAAAAAGAAGGTCCCTGAAGATAGTTTATATTTACTCTCTGGTCAATCAGAACAGCTAATTTACAACCCAACTTCTCCTCGTGTGACACACATATTGTTATATATATATCACAAAAAAAGAAGAAAAGTACAGAGAATTTTCAGAGTCCTGTTCCAATTTTTCTAACTAGCCAATAATTACAAATCACAGAGCTGAAAATCATATTACATCAATGGCTGAACTCGAGACCTCTGATCAAGGGATGCCTAAAGTCATAAATTTTATGGCTTCTGTTCTTGAAAGAGTAGCAGAAACAAATGATCTCAGCCGGAGATTTAGTGCCCAGAAAATCTCTATGTTTCATGGACTTACTAGGCCTACTATTTCTGTTGAAAGCTATTTGGAGAGGATTTTCAAGTATGCCAATTGTAGCCCTTCTTGTTTTGTTGTGGCATACATTTATCTTGATCGGTTTTCGCAGAGGCAGCCATTGTTGCCCATCAATTCTTTCAATGTTCATCGGCTGCTCATCACCAGTGTCTTGGTTTCTGCTAAATTCATGGATGATATGTGAGTTTTCTTTGGCCCCTTGTTTTCTGTTCAATTATCTTTCTTTAAAAAAAAAATTCTTTATACTGTCAGTCGATATAAGTTAAACATTTTCAAAATACGTATGGGGTATGATTTTAGCAAATTGTTAGATAATCACCAGCTGATCTCTAAGCTTTCCTGAAGAACTTGCAGAGTTCTTGCTTCCCATCATTGTTGATATAGTAATTAATGTTCTCTAGATTTTATTTTATGTGATACTTGTTTATTAATAATCTATTTTAAAAAGAACATTACCTTTTGGAAACAAATTAACTTTGAACTTCATATTTTACCTTTTATGAATGTCATGTCATATTTAATAGCATAAATTTTAAAAAAGAAAATGTTAAAACGCAATGTCCAGTCAAATATGTCAAATAAAAATCAAACAAATTGAAGCCGACGGAGTAATTGTTTACTTCTAATGTCAGTAGTATAATAGTCCATCTGCCAGATAGGATGATAACTACTATAATAATTGAACGGGTTGGAAAGTAGATACTTTTAGAAAGAACTTAAATTTGCTCTCTCGATCTTAATGATTTTATTTTATCTCTTAATGGACAGGAATTCTTTCGGGGAAAAGAAAAGGATTGAATATCTGAATGCCTATAGATGAATAGACTCCTACTGTAATTTTGTTAGTGTTTGACCTCTACATAATAGGAAAAATATCAGTAATTATTCTGCACTTATAGCTGTGCAATTTAAATTCATGAAACCATTGCCTTGAATCTTGTTCTTCAATCTGAAAGCTCTTGCTAAAGAGTAGTGTTTAAGCATGTATCCTGCTTTGACATAATTGGGTAACTTACTAATCGAACTTCGTTGACCTTGAATGATAAAATTTGTTAAACAAATAGGCAGTGTGTAAGAAAATAATTAATCTTATATATACGGTTCGTGTAAGAGAATTTTTACACAAATTAATGTAATTTAACATGTTGTAGAAGGTTGCACTTACCTTTTTTTTTTCAGAAAACTAATTCCAAACCTTTGAAGTAAGGTGGAAATATAAAAATTATTTAAATATGTGTGTATTAAAAGTTAAATTCTTAAGAAAATTATAATATATATATATATATATATATTAGTGATGAATTATACTTTAAAAAGAGTGTGAAGATGTGCCTAACATACACTAGAAGTTCATGGGGTGGTAAATATACAAAATAGAAAATAGAAACATGCATTTGAATACCAAGAAGCAAAAACATTGTCAAAAACCTAATAATAAGCATGTGAATTTTCAAAATGACCATGTTTAATTCTGAACCAGACAAAATCACCTAAGATGTGGTGTCTTTTGTCTGCTGTCCCTCACGACGTTTCAGCGTTGAATTCTATACAACTTCTTTGCTAGGGACAACTGAATGATGATGCCGTCCTCTACGTATAATTGTTATATTCCCCAGGAAGTTAAAAGGAAATTAAAGTTCGTTTCCTAGTAATTTAAAGTATTCTTATCAAAAATTTATAGACCAATATATCATATGCAAGGGTGAAGAACTGAAAGATACTAGAGCGGATTGGCACTCCTCGTCAGTTTTCTTTCGTTTGGGCTTAAATACTAGAGTAATTTGACACTTATGGTCAGCTTTGTTTCATTCGAGCTTAGATATTAGAGTGGTTTGGCTCTCTTGACAAACTTTAATTTTTCGGGCTTTTTTCTTCTGCGTTTATGCGAACCAATTATACGTGAGGTTGAAGAGGAAGGCGTCACTTCTAGCTTATATGTGCATTTACTACGTTATGTAAATTAGCAAAGTTATACCCAAACCTTTCTAATTTAGATTTGCATCTAATTATGATAAATAAGCTTTTCTAAATTAATTCGACTCCAATCTTATAGACAGTTGGTCTTTGAGATTGTCCTCTAAAAGTTTGTATCCCTGATTTGAAAGTCACAATGCTGCTTGCTTAACTGTAATGCTAGCTGCAGCTTTGACTTCTTCCTTTTCTTTTTTTAACTTTTATATTTGGTTTAAATTTATTTTTAAAAAAATTATTCCCGTGTGTGGAATATCCATTCATAGCATGATAAAATTGATGTTATAGATCTGAAATCTTGATTTAGAATGACATTATTAATTAATATGAGGTGTCGAATTAGCTATGAATTAGCTGTCATTCAAGTCTTCCTATTGTCACAAATCACAACTACATTAATACTCAATGCTTTCAGTAGCTTTCGATTTAATTCCCTGATGTGAAGTTTACAATTAGTCATCCTCTACCACCCCTTGCACCCCCCCCCCCCCAA